TCAGCCAAATTTCAATAAAATTAAAAATAAATTTTTGTGTTTGTCCTTTATTTCTTTCTTTGTTATTCGAAAACCCTTTTAAAAAAATATTATTATCAAAACTAAAACCGATTCTTCACAAAGAAAAAATTATTCCTGATCATCAATTAGGCTTTTAGAAAAAATATTCGACCATACCACAAGTTTACAGAGTCGTAAATAAAATTGCAAGCGATATTGATTCGAAACAATTTTGCTCTGGGGTTAGTTTTAGACGTTGGAAAGGCCTTCGACAGTATTTGGCATGGGGATCTCTTAACGAATTTATCCCAGCTACTTTCAACAAATTTTCACCTCATATTAGAGCTATCTACAAAGTAGATACTTTTATGAGAAGTATAAAGAATCTATCTTCAAACTTAAATAAATGGAAGCTGATGTGACCCAAGGTAGCGTCTAAGGTCCATTACTCTACTCGCTATACACGATTGATATCCAGGTACCTTTTGATCCTCAAGACGACAAAGGCAAATTATAGATGCAGATTAACTTAGAAAAACTAGATGAAAGCTAAAACAAATGAAGTTAAGCGTCGCTTTAGACAACTGTACTGGCTCAAAATCAAAACTATGGAGCACAACATGCAATATATAAATACTGCAAAGATTACAATCACAAATACTTAGGACTATCATCAACGCTGACTGGTACATCTCAAACTATGGAATTCATCGTGTCTTAAAGATACCTTTGGTTGCAGACTTTATCCGAAAAAATAGTAAAAATCACACAAATAAATTACTCTCCCGTCCTATTCTAGGTTTAGGCAAGGTGTAAAATGCTTATTTTCATCAGAGCTATCAATTTAATTATCTATAATTAGCTATCTGATTTGTTTATAGTACAATCTTAATCTCTTAATATAGTTATAGTAGATTTCGGTGTCAACCAAGCTGTGCTTGTTCAATAAGAATCTTAAGATCGCTTGTAACTGGATTTTGTACATTAGACCACCTGAACCACCTGCAAGTAATTTACCACATGAGAAAAATAAATATGTTTGATAAATAATTTTGCTTACTAAAATATCGATATCTTTATAGATATTACTCAACAGAGTTAATAACAAATGCTGTCCACAGTGACTCCAAGTATTTTTTTGTGGTTAATTAGACTTTAATTGACTTTTCATACGACTATAATGATAAATGAATTTTTAGTTTTGTACGTTTCAGATGTCAGCTACTTCTTTTCAAATGATTAAATAGTTATATATTTTTTCCTTATTGAGTAGTTGTAAAAGTATAGAGGTCAAAAAGAAAATATATAATATATTGAAAATTGTTACATAGTAACTTAAAGTTTTTTCTTGCACTCATATAATACACCATTTTTTAATATATATTTTCTCATTTTGCATTTCATTTATTTTTTTCTGCTGACACGAAAGAAGATAACAATGAAATTATTGCATTCCTTCATCTAGAAATTTTCATAAATTGCTTTTTCTGCAGAATTTCCAAGCCATTGGAACTTAACCAGTACAAGGAACCCAACAAATCAAAGGATGACTTATTGCTACCGCATTTGTTTCATGGCAACTTGCATGTAGTTCACCCATTTACCGATTAACTAAAGAATAACAAATTGCTTGAAAGAGAGAAATTTGCATGTACTTTGTTCAGCAAATTGTTTCGAAACAAAAAATGGAATAGGGAAAAAAATAAGTGGAATGATTACCATAAGAACTGCAATATATCACAAATAGTTATCACACATTTGCAAGGAATTATACAGTATTTTTATGAGAGAATCAGTTCAAGACTAATAAGAAAAGCAAATGAAATAGTTCTCAAAGCACTTATCGATAATACTCATGCCAATCGCATAAATACTCGTATTTTAGATATTTAGGTATTTGCAAGTTTAAGGATTTATAGATACATATATAATATATATTTAACTCCATTTATGTTGTTTAATTGGTAGCAATTTCTATTTATAATTTTAAAATAAAATAATTCATCAAGAGGTTTTTCGAACAGTAGTGAACTACAACAACAAAAATTTTATTTGTATATTATTTTAATTAATTAAATTTTTGTCTGACCATACAGCTGCTTTAAGTATTGCAAAATACCCATCATCAATGGTCTTGGAAATAATTATTGTATTTAATTATTCGTAAATAATTATTTTTGAGACTGCAAGTACCAGGAATCGAACTCGGCTCGCACCGTCTGGAAAATTTGACGTTAAATTACAACTTATATTCACAAATTAAAATATTGGAGTTTAAAAAATCCATCCATCGGACTCCATATTAAAAACATGGCGCTTACATATTGCTGGAATGGAAGAGAAACCTCTACTGTTACTAAAATAACCCAAACCTGCGATAGTTTAAAAAATAATGTACGAGTATTAAAAAATAATGATAAAAGTTAATAAATAATTAGCTTGTCCTACATATTCTCGCCGGGCACTACAGTTCCTTGTGAGGATGTGATTTCTAAATAATGCATTTCGTTTTTGCTGGTCTTATGCAAAAACTCTTCAATCAAGTACACCTATCTAGTTAAGATCGCCTACTTCATCATTCACCTGTCTTTCCCATGTAGGTTGTAGATATTGTTATCACAGTCTAAAAGTGAACTGACACTCATAGGAATAGGCATTAAATATCTTAGCAAGTATAAGTAGGTAATAAATCTACAGTGCTAACAAAATTTTAGCTCATAATTAATTAAACCTCTAAGCAACAGCTCTGTATCGTTCTATATATGTATAATAAAAAAATTTAAAAAGGATGTATTGGGTGGATCAAGATTTATTTAACGCATTTTTTAACTACGAGGGAAACATCCAATAGATCCTATAAAATATAAAATTCTGTGTATAGGGTACCTACAATTCGGCAATGTACCCTCTTTATTTGTTTGTACTAAGCTTTTGAAAATTAATACATACAACTTAGCTTTGATGATTTTCTAGAATTAAATCCTTTAATTCAAATTGAATAAATAGTGTTGCCAACTGTGTACGTAAAATCGTATATATCATTTTATTAACGTTTTGACAAATGAAACTGGACTTGAAATATTGTGCAGAAAACTAAGCTCGAAGCTCTTAAATGGCAACTCAGAGTATGGTGCAAAATATGCACTCTTTGCACTTTAAACCATTAGATGAATCCCAACGAAATCAATCAACAAGAATTTTACAAGCGAAAACACTGAAATACTCCGAACGCGCCAAAAGTATGCAACGAAAATTTCTGCACTGGCATTTTTAACTTCTAAAACTTGGGATGTTTAACTTCCGTTTATGCTTCCGTCGTTTCACTGAAAGGAATGCAATGCAAATAAGGCGTTGTTTGAAATGCGATTTATTCATGTTGTGTACATGGGAAAACAGAATTTTTTTCTGGTTCTACAGCATTGTCTAAAAATATGGTTGGTGTGCAAGGGTACCATTTTCCCATGTGCCAATAGAGTTGCAAAAAATTCAGCGGAAAGTTTTGCTTTTTCCACCCACTTATTGCTGCTTGAACATGTACTTTTAGTTTATTACAGAAAGAGTGCAAAGTTAGGTCAAACAACGTCCATAATACAAAGTTATTTCACACACTTGTATTCGCGTTAGGTTTCCTTTGTGCAATAAACAAAATTATGTTGAAATTTAAACACAAACTATATTTGCACAGTGCAAAAGACACAGTAATAATTGCAGAATTTTCACGTCACAAACTAAATTCATATAAATATTTTCACTAACATAAAATTTAATATCTTTTTTTGCTCTCATTTCATCGTAGCTTTTCATCTTTATACAAACAAAACGGATGAGCGCATTGAGGATGATACTTTGGCTGTCAAATATGAGGATGGCAGATGGTCGAAGCCGTATTACGATTGCGGCGGTGGCAATATTTGGATGTTGACATATACCGTCCCATTTTTCGGTTACGAAAATGACACTTATCATTTCAAGTAAGTGCAACCAAATGAAAATTCTACATTGAGAACTTGTAATTTGCAAACCAAAATCAACGAACTTCATATTTGCATAAGACAGTGTTCAGGCAGAGATAATCATTGCTCTGCCAAAATGGATTAAAAAGTAGTTAGTGTCAAATAGTGTCGATTTGATTGTACGAGTTCATACGACAAGGGATTTTGGTATTTGCTTTTCTTTAGTTAAAATATTGTCATAGTTGACCTAATCACTCAGTTAATGTCTCTGTAGTTATTTTTTTTTTTAATTATATAGTAAATATAAATGCTTTATTACGTTATAAATGCAAAAAAAAAAAATACTTAATTTCTTTAAGATTTTAATTTTTACTACACTGAACTTTCATTCTTTTTCATTTCATTAATAATGGGAAGAGAATATTTAATATTATAATGATAAATTATAATAGTTTAAATAAAATTACACCAAATTCAAGATCAAGAATGAACTAAAACTAAATTAAAATTAAATTAAATTAAAATAAAATAAAGAAAATTAAATTACTTTAAATTGAATTGAATCGAATTAAACGAAATCAAATTAAATTAAACTAATCTAAACTAAACTAAACTAGAGTAAATTAAATTAAAATAAATTAAATTTAAAGTAATTTTATTTTATTTTATTTAATTTTATTTTATTTTGTATTATTCAATATAATTTAATTTAATTTAGTCAAATTTAATTCAATTCAATTCAATTCAATTTAATTCAATTCCATTCAATTCAATTCAATTCAATTCAATCCATATCATATCTTAAATAAACTTCAATTGAATTAATTTAAATCAAATTAAATTAAATTAAATCATATTAAA